AGAGAGAGAGAGAGAGAGAGAGAGAGAGAGAGAGAGAGAGAGAGAGAACTCACTACTAAAGTCCTCTAACCACTAATCTGCACGCACACACAAATACATCTAAAAAGGGTGCCTTAAAAAACAATCTAGCCAATCAGACTACTGTTAATCTGTTATATGTTAATATGTTAATGAGGCGTTCTATACAGAGCTCCCAGTCAACACCTCAATGGTTACTCGTGGGTGCTCAACAGCAGTAGCTGTTGCCAGTTATTAATTTTCCAAATAAGGAAAAAGTGGAAAATCAACTGTGAAATGAACATTCTCACAATCATGGGGAAGTTTACATTTACTCATTCCATAAACATGTATTGTGACCCTGCAGTGTGGTCGGCTGCGTTCTTAACCCTGAGGCCAGAATGAGAAACAGGACGAAGCCTTCACTTTCCAAGGACTTGCATGCATCCTAGTGGCAGAAGGAGGCAGGCAGTGGGAAACACAAGATCATCCCAGGCAGCTTTAAGCTCTGTGAAGAGCCCCAAACAGGACAACGTGGAGTTCCTGGACAGGATGGACGTTTAGCTTGGACGCACAGCCGTCTGTCTGATGGTCCTAGGTAGCCAAAAAGAGGTCCTCTTTGTCGGACACTTTGAGTGTGGAATGTGGATGGCCAAAAGTCAGACCTATGCTTACCCATCTCTGAAATTCATCTTTGGCAGCTACAGTGTAAAATACAGTACCCAAATATCCTCATCCAGAAATCAGAAGCCTAGGACACTGTGACATCCAAGGGGACTCAAATGCCCCCAGACAAGGTGACAGACAACTTTACATCTCTCTCAGCCGCAACAGTCAGGAAGGCAGGCGCACGGCTGGTTCAGAAGTGTTTGAAGGACACAATGCAATGCCACGGGTGACGCCAGAGGCAGCAAACGCCCGCTGGGCTCCTAAAGCCCCAAGGGGAGAGTGTTTTCGGTCCCCAGTGCTGACACCGTGGAGCATCGCGACCTGGCTGGGGGAGACCAGAGAGAGAGAGGTGCCTGCACGGCCCGGTCCCAGCTCGCGGATGTGGTAAAGCCTCCCTCCTGGCCCAATTAAGAAGGTTTTCTGTGCCTCCCACCCCGGTACAACGCCAGACTGTCCGGGACAACTCCACCGCACAGCATCCTCCTGCACCCGCACGCGCTCCTGTGCTCCGCTCCTTCTCCCGGTCCATCCCGCTCGGGCTGTCACTCGAGGGGCACAGCTCCACGGTGAGCAACACCAGAGTGCTTCCTCCCAGAAAACTGGCGCCGACCCTGCAAGCGTCCTCTGAGTCTCAGGACTGCCCAGTGGACCGGGACTTCCCGGGAGCAGCACATACTCCGGACCCTAGACTGGCAGCGTGCCTGAACCTTCCCCGGGGCCTCCTTCACGTCCCAATCCCTGCCCGGTGGACGCCCTGCAGCTCACCTGAGCTTTCCGCAGCTGGGGACGCTGCTTGGTTCCCCGGTGGAGGTTTCAGACCGGGAAGGAGGCAAACCCTGCTTCTCCGGTCCCTGCAAGGCTCAGCCGACGGCAGTTCCAACACCAGCCGCAGGAGACTGGGGCGCCGAGCGCCACTCGCCGACAGATGGTGGGCGGAAACCCGCGCTGCTCACCGGCTCTCCTGGCGCGGGGGTCGCTGGTCCTCTGCCACTGGCCGGCGTGCGATCTCCCGGTACCAGTTCTCAGTACTTTGCCCAGAACTTTAGGGCGCGCGCCGCGGGGTGATTAGCAGAAGAGCTGGAGCTAGGGGGAGGGAGCTAGGAGGAGGAGTCTGAGTCTTCCCTGGGGGCGGAGCAACATGGGGGGCGCAGCAGAGTGGCTTCCACTCCCACCAATCAGGAGTCATTCGGGGAAAGGTGGTGGGACGCTGCACTTGGAAGCTGCTGGCGGATTCCGTGACGCCACCCCGGGTTCAGGGCGCGTAGAGGAGCCGAGGGTGGTGGTGGGTGTGGCTGGGCGGGGCAGCAGCTCCCGGCAACCCTGGGCAGTGTGCGCCCTGCCGGCTCTCAGTAAATGTTTATTGAATGACTAGGAGGGAGGTAAGGTCCGCGCGGGAGGAGCTGCTTTAAGAAGATTCCAGGGGACTAACGTAGTCCAACAGGCAGGATCACTTGACCATTGAAAAGCGTGAGGTTAAATAAGAGAAATAAGTGGTGAGCCGAGGGGTGTAGGCACATGATGTCTAAGGAGAAGAATTGGTGTGGGAGACTAGGTTCCGACACTGGGGCGCAGCCTCCAGAAGCAGTTGGGTAGATTGATGCGGGTGCACAGTGAGGGCAGAAGGGTTATTTTGTTCTTCCAGTCCCCGTACAAAGTGCAATGTAGTTGGCGATTAAAACGGAGGAGCCTCTGGCTAGACGGCCAGACCCATCCGACTTCACGGCCCACTTGCTAGAATCCTGGCTTGGATGCCAGCCACTGATAATTAGAGGTCAATTTGCAGACCGCACATGAGTCCAGCGCCTCAGGTGGCGCGGTGGGCAGGGGATGATGAATGCCCGAAGCAGATGCGATCCTGCACCTGCGGTAAAGGCACACAAGGTTTCTGTCCTCTCAGAACCTACATTTTAGAAAGGAAGCAGACAATAAACCAAAGAAAGTATACATATATAAACAAGAAAACGTTGACGAACTGTTATCACTGAGACAGGGACACGCAGAACACTGGAAGGAGCGAGTGGAGGGAGTGGCCCGGGTCCCTGAGGGCCTCTTTAGAAGGAAGAGGTTCTCAAACAGGCTCCCGAAGCGGGAAGGGCGCTGCCACTCTCGGTCTGAGGAAGAGCTTTCCGGACACTCAAACTGCCAACGCGACATATTTAACCTCTTCAAGATCCTCCTGGACTGCCTCACCGAGCAGGGCAGTTTGGGTCTTTTGGCTCAGTTACTGACACTCTAGGCGCTCCAGAATGCCAAGTGCTGCGCCAGCCGCCACTGGTGGCACTAGATATTGTCAGTCTGACCCCATATTAAGGTTTCTGAGGCTCTCTCTACGACTATAAAACCATGTTTCATTCACCACGCTTGGATATTCGCTTTCTGGAACAATCGCTGACGCAGACTCTCTGGGGCTGCCTGCTTTGGCCCTAGCAGGTGGAGGGAGTTAGGGTGTGTTCTTGGCTAGGACCTCAGATTCTCTAGACTCCTTAGCACTCGGTTTTGGGATTTCAGTATGAATGACGTGAGGCTTCCTCTACTACCCCAAGTCTGGCGGTGCTAGCTGAGGAGCAGGCCCGATAGTGGCAGGGACCCACGCCCAGCTCAGATGCCTGAGCCACTCTCATTTCTAGTAACTCTTCCCCAAGACATCCTCTCTCTTTCTCTTTTCCTCTCCCCACTTCCAAACCGCCTTGTTGCTTCTGGATTCGCTTTCCTATGGGAGACAAGCCTTTCATCCCTAAGGAATGTCTTCGCTGCCCAGGAATCCAACCTTTGGACTTTGCACACTGCGGTTATCATCTCCAAAGTTCACACTCGAGATTGTACAATCACATATAACTATGTACATACACACTTATATTGTGTTGAGCCTGATTCATAGCTACTCTGAGCCCAACGAGGCTGTAGCCTTTACCAAAGGGCCTTGTAGCCACAGGTTAGACAGACAGCTACGATTTTACTGTTCAGACTGGCATCTTGGCTTTCTCTTCTGTTTTCTTCCAGGCTGCCTGTGTGTTCCGGTTGGTGATGAAGGCAGTTAATGAGACAGGATGAGAGATGTGCTCATATTCAAACTGCCTTGCCTCTAAGAAAGAGGGCTCTCAGTGAGTCTCTTCGGTTTCACTTCCTCTTCTAAACAAGCTTCCAGGCGCTCCCGCGCCTACAAATCAAGAGGGGAAAGATTAAAGTTGAAACCCACGCAGAGTTAATTATCTTGCAAAAGCTCGTTACTGTCCTAAAATTAGCTTGCTCCACGGTCTTATTTTAGCACAGTGATCTGAATGTACTAGAGAAAGATCAATGGTTGCATAGTAAGTTTCTAGAGCTCTTTTCTCCGAACAGTTGAACACGTCCTGTTGGATCCTTGTAGACACTCCACCACTGGGGGGGAGGGGGGCGTCCTTTGGAAGTTGGCTTAGTGCTTTTCTTATTTTCACATTTATCGATTGTGTGTGTGTGTGTGTGTGTGTATGTGTGTACACGTGTGCCACTGCATAAGTGGAGAGCGGAGGACAACTTGCGAGAACTGGTTCTCTCTTTCCACCGTGTATGTCCTAGGGATCAATCTCATGCTCGGTGGCAAGCGTCTTTACCACCCCCCCCCCAGTCATCTCACTCGTCCGGCTGAGTGGTTTTTGCCTCTGAAATGCCTCATAGGCGAGCAGGTTCTTGTCTGGTTTTGCCTGTGTTCATCGTAAAAGAAGCTGGTCAGAATGAAACGTAGGCAAGAACCACATGGGCTTCTAGGCGGAGCCTCCGGCTTCTTGTCGTGCCATGACGACTCTTAGCTAAGGAGCACCTCTCCTACTTTGTGACATGAAAACGGCCAATGTATTTATGGGGCTACTTCAAGAGTTTCACAGTGTGAAAACAAATGCCATGTAGACTGCAACAGAGTCCCCAACCTCGGTGCCACTGACATTCTGGGCCCAACAATTCTGTTTGTGGGTAGGAATATCTCTGTGCCTATAAACTGCATCTCTACCCTCTACCCACTCTGTATTACCCAGATGTAGCAACCAAAAATCCTCGGACCCCTGGAAGGCATAATCAGTCCTGGCTGAAAACTACCACTGGCTTAGCACATAGATCAGGAGGCAGCAGAAGTACCTGCTTAGGATAGGATTCTGGCCTCGAACCAAGGGTAAATTTTGCTTTCCTAAACCCCATATGTACAAAGGAAATCTGAATAATATCATCTCTTGAGGCTGTCTACAGATTAAATGGAATTGTGTAAGAGAAATTTTTGCAGTGTCCTGAAACATGTACACTACAAAAATAAGCTTCTGGCCTCACTGTCTTCCTTGGGGAGCAGGCATTGGCCTGCTTGACTTCACTGTCTTCTTATGGTGAACAGGCATTGGCCTGTATGAGCTCACTGTCTTCCTGTGGGAAGTAGGCATTGGCCTGCATGGCCTTACTGTCTTCCTGGGAGAGCAGGCATTGGCCTGCAGGGTCTCATTGTCTTCCTGGGAGAGCAGGCATTGGCCTGCAAGGTCTCACTGTCTTCCTGTAGGGAAGCAGGCATTGGCTTGTATACTTTGTTTGCTGCTACTCCTGTTCCTGACTCATGGCAGATAACAGGAGTAACTCAAAACTGGTTTTATCACCAAGTTCAAATAGGGCTCAAAATTCTTAACACTGGATTCTAGGAAGCTATCACTGTCAGAACAGTGTAAGTATGTAAGAGGGTACTGAAGGACCATCCCAGGGCTGAAGGACCTTACCATCCCCATCCCAGGGCTGAAGGATCCCTAACAGCCCCAGTGTCCTGCAGTGGTGACCACATGTGAGAAGGAACAACAGTTAATCATGTCACCAGCCTCACCTCTTTTATAGAGGGGAAGGATCCTGAGACCAGAGTTCCAGCATCTTTATCGTAATCATACAGCCCAGAGGCTCAGTCTCCTGTTCTCTTAAGATTTTTTTTTGCCATACCCATCGTTTAAGGAAGCTGCAAACATTTTCCTGGCTCACTGCTTGAGGCAGAGGCAGGTGGATCTCTGTGAGTTGAGGCCGGTCAGGTCTACAGAGGGAGATCCAGGTCAGTCATGGCTACATAGTGAGAACTTGTTAAAAAAAAAAAAAAGAGAGAGAGAGAGAGAGAGAGAAAGAAGGAAGGAAGGAAGGAAGGAAGAAAGAAAGAAAGGATGGAGGAAGGAAGAAGGAAGGAAGAAGGAAGGAGGAGGAGGAGGAAGGAAGGGAGGAAGGAAGGGAGGAAGGAAGGAAGGAAGAAGAAGTATGTCCGAAGCAGTGATAATCGCCCCTTCTCTTTTATGTGAAAAAAAAATGAATTAAAGTATTTTTGTTGCGTAGGATTGATTACCTCGGAAGCTGTCTTTCAAAAGTGTTAGTAAGCACATGACAAAAAATGCACAAGAATTCATCTATTCCTTTACGAAATATAGATCACGCACCACCTTTGTGGAAGTGCCATTCTTAGCAGGCACTTTGTGACACACAAAGATGGATCAGAGGCTGTTCCTGCCTTCATTGCTTTCAGTTCCCTCCATAGGGCAGATCAAACATGTATATAAATAACTACAATACACGCTGCAGACTGGAAGCTGTCCTGAGAGGGGCACCAAAAATATCTACAGACAAAAAAAAAAGGGATGAATTATTTTGAGACTTAGAAGCAGAGTTACTTCCGGCATGGCTTTGTTGACACTTTTAACTTTTGGTTTAAAATGTGTGCTTATTACAGTAAAACTATCCTTGTAAAGGAAGTTGTCATATTGTCAGAGTTCCTGGTGTAGATCCAATTCCTGCTAATGTACTTGGATACTATCTGTGCAACTTAAAGTCAAAGTTCATTCTAATTCTAAATGAGTCATTTGTTAAATCAGATGTTTAACTTTTCTGGAATGTTCTAGCTTACTCACCTTTAGGGACAACAGCACAGCTTTTTTCCCAAGCAGTTGGCAGAACCAGTCTTTTAAGCTTGTTTTACTGTGGGAACACACATAAAAATGAACATTACAGGGACAGAGGGACAGAAAGGGACAGAATTTCCTTCAGGACTGAACTATCCCAGGAGCACCAAATGATCTCTAAGTACCACCTCCAAAAACACACACACCTCATGCCATCTACTGTAACTACTAAGAACAGCCCACGTGAGTTACAGAAAGCATTGCTTGCCAGGCGCTACCAACCTGAGCTGCCAAGACTGCCGCTGCTCCTGCCACTATCAGGAGTCTGCCTGTCAAATCAGAAAGATTTGGCAGAAATGTCAGGACACCCCTTCTGTTAATGCCACACCAGCAGAATGTGTGCCTCAAAGTCTGCTGTTCTCCTTATTATGTTATTTCTAAGCCCATGCTCTGTAGGAATGCATCTGATACATACATTCCAAATCACATCTGCAAATCTAGCTGCAAGGGAGGCTAGGAAATGTAATGCTTTTCTTTCTAGTCTCTGTGCTATCAAAAGGCACACAAGAGGGAAGCTGGGTCAGAAAATGAGTGTGTTAGCTAGGGATATAAGTGTTGGAAAAATACTTGCCTGGCATGTGCAAGGTTCAATCTCAATACTGCAAGTAGAATGAACCAAGCCTTAGAACCTTTCATAGTCACATATATGAGCGGGGGAGGGGGGAGAAATAGAGTTGTGTGTAAGTGAATGATGACATACATGTTCCATGCACGTGTGAAAGTGAATGATGGCATACATGTTCCATGCACACACGTGAAGGTTAGAAGACAACTGTTTCTCACCTTCCACCTTGTTGAGGCAGGGCCTTTCTTTATGTTGTGTACTCCAGACTGGCTGGTTCTTGAGCTTCTGGGCTACCACCTTCTCTCTGTCTCACGTCTTGTTATAGGAGTACTGGGACTATTAATATGGGACATCACATGGGCTTTTTATGTGGATCCTGGGGCTAGAACTCAGGTTGTCAAGTTTGAGCAGCAAGCACTTTTATTCCCTGAGCTAATTCCCAAGCCCAGCTTCCTCCGTCTCTCTCTCTCTCTCTCTCTCTCTCTCTCTCTCTCTCTCTCTCTCT